GCTGCAGCTGGGCGGGCGCGCACGGAGGGGTTGGCCTGGTTGGCCAGCCTCGCACGCGCATGTGGCCATGTGGCTTAACTGAAGCAACGTGCGTCTTACTGTGCTGGACCCGGGCGTCGTCGTCGAGGTCGAGGGCGATCAGTCGAGGACGATCCTGCATGCAGGCCAGGTAGCTGCATGCATGCATGGTGACCTGTGGCCGTCGGGCCGTCGCGGTAGAGACGACGAAGCATGTGTGTTCTCTCGATCCGCGATATGATTGTCCGGATGGTCCAGGCACTCATGTACGTAGTATATGGGCTTCAATTCATGTATACTCGTACATATGGGAGAAAAAGTATCAAGCTACTACTACTAGCTAGCAACTTGTGTAAAACTGCCAAGCTTGCCTATACATACATATATATCATGTAGCTAGGAGGAATGAGTATGCATGCCGTTGTTGCCAAGCACTCGATCGTAGTGCTGACTAGCGGTGATGGATCACGAGCGGGGCTCATAATAAGCTTTTCTTTAGTTCCATATATACGTGAACGCGACGTGCATGATCCTTATCCACCGTCGACGATCTATCAATAATGTGGAGCATGTACGCTGTCTGTGATTCACCAGCCGCCCGATATGGAGAGAGAGTTAGTTAGAGGCTAGCTAACCCTGTAGCCTGTAGGTGTGGGCACCGCCCCGGCCTGGCCCTTTTCCTGCATCGTCGTCGTGTCCATATATGCAACTTGGAATGAACCCGGCCGATCGAACCAATCTCATTTCGTCACCCGTCGTCGTCGTCGTCGTCCTCAGTCGTCAGATGGCACGTCCCTGTCGAGCGAGGAGGCCGAGCACACGAGCCGCACAGTGTCTCGTCGTCTCCGATTCGATCGCCCGTGGCCGTGCATGTGCATGCGCACGAGACCACGAACCCACATGCATGCGGCAGACGCGAGCGCACGCGGCACCGGGGCCGCCCGGGACGACACGGATCGGAGTCGGAGCGTGCGCGTGCGTGCGCAGGTGCTACAGGCCGGGCGGACGGACAGCGGGACAGGTCCATCAATGCAAGCCGAAGCCGATGCATCGTCGTCGGCACGAAAGCTAGCGCGGGCGGCAGGACCAGGACCATCCCCGTCCGTGCGCTTGGGTACATCATGCGCCGCGCCGCGCCATGGACCGCGCGCATGCATGCATGCAGGACCTACGACCGGCAGGCCGATCGGTGCCAGGGGAGGGGATCTATCGGAGAGTGAAGCGTGCCTGCGACTTGCTAGCGCGGCCGGGACGGACATCGGAGAGCGACCCGTCGTCTAACACATGCCAGGCGGCCAGGGCTAGCCCTACGCGCGCCCTGGCGTGCACACCGCACACGTACGCTCGCGCCTATCTGCTTCGGGTGCGCTAGCTAGTTAGCTATAGTTTGTAGTTTCTGCACGGGCCACGTACGCCAATGATTGGCACGATCGGCTCGACCATCGAATGCACGCATGGTGTGCGTGGTCCGTGCATCGATCCACCGACGGCAACGCCACATTGGCTCCGCTAAAAGCCCCGGCCGGCGCGGCCCAGCGCGGCGTCGGCACGGCCGGGTGGGGCGCTGCGGCCAGCTGGCCAGGTTACCCGCGCACGAGGTTCCACTCGCCTTTTGGCTACTACCTTTTGGCGTCGATCGGGGTCGTCGTCCCGTGCCGCGGCCGCACGTTCGCGAGACGTACTTGTCCCCGGCCGCCCGGCGCGGGGCCGCCGTGCGTGCCGTGCGCAAGAGGACGTACGCTTATGGTTTATTTGCATTTAATATCATGACACATTAATGCTCACAATTACCAACACAGAAGCTGACGTATCAATCAGACTAGCCTGAGGGTGCCAAAGTCTCTAAACTTCCAAAATACACATTTAAACCATCAAACTTGCTAGTCAGCTGGTCATAATAATTTCTATAATTAGCATTATAAACCTATTGTCAGCTGTTGAGTATACGATGAATCTTCCTCTCTCTCTCTTCGGGTCGTGTTAGCGACCGACTCCCACCCCTGCCCCGGCAGTTATGCCACTGGCCCACCCAACCTCGGCGACTCCTGGCGCTTCCCCTACCACCTTCGGCGGCCAGCGGCTCCTGACGTCTTGCCGCGCTGCCCACCAACTCACCGCCCCGCCGCCATAGCCGTCTCGACTGCCGCCACCGCCAGGTCGCGGTCACCTCCCCCCAAATCCTCCTTCTAAGGCCGTCGGGGAAAACCCTAACCCCGTCGGAACCCTACAGCCAACGACCTCCTCCGCTGCAGCTCCACGGAAGGGGCTGCGTCGCGCACGGGCCGCAGTCGCTCATGGGCCGCGAGCCGCACTCGTGTGGAATCCCTCGGTCGCGGAAGGGTGGTTGGCGCGTGACTTCGGTCCGACCGGTCGGACAGGAAGATTGGCGTCTCTCTTCCCCTTCCTCTCTTTAAACTTCTAGGACTAGCGATCAAGCGATGCATTTTTACTCTTCAAATGCATACATGCCCAAAGAGATCTCGATCAATGTGCTGGTGGCTGCTGCCCGGCCGGGGTTCGTTTGACTGAGACGAGGATGGATAATGGAGCGGCTGCTCCTGCTCTGCGGTAGAGCTCAGCTCACGCACGCGTGTCTTGTGGCCTTGTGGGAGCCGTTTGAGTTGACCTGGGGCCGTGCTACCTGCCGCGCGCCCCAGCTCCGGCCGGCTCCACAGCTGCACCAATAATAGAGGCAGTCTTTTGCAAGCAACAGCCCCGGTCGCCAGCTGCATTAAGCATTATACTCCTACTTAGCGGCGTCACCCAGTGCGTCTGCATATATATAGCGATTTCGTGTACCAAGCAGCTAAGCTGCTAGCCTCACAGTGTCACAGTAGATCAAGGACCTTTTGTTGGGTGATCGTCCGTGATCGATCGATCAGCTTGGAAAAAAGCAGTCAACATAGACGACGTGCGTACGTACAAATAATCGAGACTAATCAAGGTTTAAATTTGATTTAGCTACTGCATGCTACATGCTCCCTCAATCCCAAATTATAAGACGTTTGACTTTTTTAACCTCAAGTTTGACCACTCGTCTTATTCAAAAAATTTGTGTAAATATAGTCAAATTTAAGCCATTCTTGAAGAACTTTTATTAATAAACCGAGCCATGACAAAAGAAGTGATATTTTGCACAAAATTTTGAATAAGACGAGTGGTCAAATTTGGTGTCAAAAAAGTCAAACGTCTTATAATTTGAGATGGATTGAGTACTTATTTTTTAATAAAATCCAGTAGGGGGCAACCCCTCCTGTTCCCCAAAAAAAATACTAATGTACAATGTTCATCGCAAATTCTATCAGTTAAGTACACGTATGCATGGTGTATGTGCAGATGCGATCGTTAAGTGGATCACGCGAAGTCGTCAGGCACTACAGCTACAGATGGCCTTTCGGCTCCTTTTAGTTTGGAGCTCATCGTGCAAATAAATTGCCTCGCAGCCGTTTTCCTCAACACGTGTGCAGGTGCAGCGCACCAGACATATGATGCATGATATATATCTGTCCTTCATTCTGTACATTTTGCTTCTACGTGTGTATATATACACTACTCCTATATCTTAGGTTGACACGGTTCCAAAATAAGCGTGTATTTCGCTTCTCGAGGACTAGAAATATAAAAAACAGTATCAATATTTATATATCTAAATAAGTTTATTATAAAAACATATTCAAATCTAATGATAATTATTATACTGCATAGTATTGGTATACTTTTGTATAAAATATAGTTAAACTTTACAACGATTGACCAGTGGCGAAGCGTGACCCAATATTAAGGGAGGCTAATTTAATGCTAAACAATACAGTATTGCCTACTCCTACGTCTCTTGCTCTCTGCTGCCCCTTCCTAGATACTACTAGTCTTTACCTACTTTAGTCTTCATCAGCATGCTACTACTAGTCCTTCGTGATTTTACAAAGGCAAGCAGGGGCCGGAGCCCAGTTTCGCCTCTACTGAGCTCCGTCCCTGCGATTGACTCATCGGGAAGTGAGATATGCGTTTACTTTGGGACGGTGACGTTGAGTTCAGTATGACACAGTATCATAACAGGTACAAAAAAATGAATTCAAATTAATGTGTGTGGTAGTTTAGCGTTTTGACAGATTCACAATACTTGTCCTCCTATCTCCGAGTTTCATCTCGTGGGTTTCCTGCATATTTTTATCCTTTGTTTGAATTATCACATGATATTCAAATAAAAGATGCCGTTATTATCTAATAAGGTAAGATCAGTACAACGACGATTATGTTGTCACTGCTTACCCTTACCCAGCTCAGGGCGCTAAGCTAGGGAGAAAAACGCTGTACTACATTTTTAATATATAATAGTGAAGCTGTTTTAGAGTTATAGCCAAGTACTCAAGATGTTTACATGCATTATCTGTCTTGATTAATTTCACAGAAATTAAGTGCCTATATGGCCACTGGTATTGACAGCTTCTTCCTCCGATTCAACTTGGATGTCCTTTCCTTGCTCGTGAATGAAGCCACTTGATGAGAACAAGCTAACATAAGATGATAAGATACTCCCTGAGGTCATAATATTGACTTGTTGATGGTTCATGGTCCCCAAGTTCTAATTTGAGTCCATCGGTTGATTACTGGGGTGTTTTAGGGGGTGTAGCACCCGATGTTTTTATCATTGGATTTGAAATGAATGAATTAGATTAGCTACACGATACCTTAGTTCATAAGTCAAATTCGGATTTTGCTTGGATTTTGCATGACTAGTGGTGTACTACTATACTACCAAGCTATACACATTACCTTAGTTCATAATTAATTCTGATTCGGAGTATGGATTTTCTTGGATTTTGCTTGGTGTAGTATATATCACCCGAACGGCATCTGAATTGCTTATGAGCTTGGTCAAATCCATATATATGTTGCTTGGGGTCGATTTTGCGTACCTAGTTGTATATTACCAAGCTTCATGGAGTCAAGGACTGGTATCGACACGCGAATTTCTTTCTTTCTCAAGTTAGAAAGGTAATATATGGATTTTTCTGAACCAGGAGACTGCTAATGTGCAGTATGCATGACTGCATTTTCACAAATTGTGTATTATGTTCAATATTCTGAACACTGGCCAAATTCAGTCCGTTAAAAATAGAAGACCTGAAGTGGACATGTTTAGCATTCCTTTAGTTACCCATCCATAGACGCACTAACTTACATGGGCCTTGTAGGCCTTTCTGTTTTCGGCCTTCTCTTTTCCTTTGTTTTCAAAATGGTGAACATGCCTTTCCTTTGGCTTGTGAAAAAATAAAATTGCACTTTCCTACAAAAGACGAATACTGAATTACACAACACACAACGATCATCTGGCGCCAACTAGAGTGACAATGGCACCAAGAAAATAACCTAGGTGCTTTGCAACTTCCTAGTGACAATGGCACCAACGAATCAACTCGGTTTTGGTAAATTAACTTGGGCAGATCCTCGCCACAGGGAAATCACAATTGCTTTTTGCAAAGCCCGTTATGGCGATGGCAACTTAGAAAAGCCACATGTTGGCGATGGCAAAAAAAAAATTCTCAAAGGCATTACTACCAAGGGTAACTGTACAATCCGCAGCAGGCACAGCAGCCAGGATGCCAGGTCCTCAACAAGTTCTGGTCATTCAGGTTTCAGAGGAAATTACATCAGAATTTTCTCAAAATCTATTGGTTTTCTCCAAGCATATTTACCAGTGTCCTGCATAGGGTGACAGGATGCTTAAAGCACAAAATGCATCTTTGTTGTTATGCCCAAATATGAAATGGCAAAGAAAGTAGAAGAAAAAAAATAGAGGTAGTGTTTTGTTGTCTTGTGTAGATATATTCACAAGATAAAACTGCACTTGACAGTTCATCTAGAGGTACTTCAATCAAGTCATCAACCTTGTGGAGAATCTGGACTGTTAAGTTTCAGATTTCCGCTGAATCGAAGTTTAAGTTTCAGCTAGTAAAAAGTTCAGTACTGTACTGTGAGTTTGTGTGCATTGTGGAAGTCTGAACCATCTATAGCACAGCCTGCAGCTGTTCATACAAAGCCCAAAGGACCAATCCTATTATAGTGTCCCTTACCAGGCCCTTGATGAGTGAGCTAACCCATGTATCAGATGATGCTCTACCAACCAGGTCTCGGAATCTCAAATCCCCTTGATCAGAGATCAGCGCGTACACAATGCCATTAATGTGCCCCTTCCCTACAACTCCGACGACAGTTTTGCTCTTGTTCACAGCCTTGCTCCTCTTCAGCGACCATGCAAGGAACTGCAAGAAAGCATCGAGAGTTTAACTGAATTGCTAGAAGCATGGATGATTAAAGTATCATGCAAAGCTTGATGCAATTGACAAATTCGCATAGTTGCATGTTCTGCAAGAGTGGAGGATTCAGATAGGCTGTTCAGAATCATGCTCATACCATGTCGCGTTCATGTATGAGAGGCTGCAGCAGTGCAGGATAAGATGTGCTAAGCTTCTCATACAACTCATATGGGCTGACAGCAGTTTTTTCATCCTGCTACAGTAGTAATCAAACAAGAATGTCAACAGACAATGGCAGTAAAAAATGATTTCTCAACACGATACATTTTCGTACTAAAAAGACTGGCAACATTTTCTTTTAGGCAATTACGACTGAGGACTGACAAATGAATACATGTACTTACTGGCGTGTCAGTTGTGGAAGCAATCCCGCGGAACAGTGAGATTAGTAGCTTTGTCTTTTGATCCCAGGTGAGGGATTTCCATGCTCGTTCAAGCTGCACGAACAATCTGATATGAGTTTCAGCTATTATATCAGCTGTACTTTGCAGAGTTAGCAATGCAAGCTCGGTGTGCAAATACCATTAAAATAAACCATTGTACAACTAACAAGACACATACAGTTATTTCAATCGGGCGATCGCCAAGAACAAGCTGAGCACCAATGTCTTCAGACACCCTCCTAGCTGCCCGGAACTATTAAAATACAGTATGTGATAGTAGAATTCAGTTGCTATACTCTCACATAACATCTGAAGAAAAACTACATGTCAGTTTTTTTTTTTAACTTTCAGCAAGCTTTATTGATTCAGCAGAATGGATACATCGTTTACAAGCAATTGCAATATAGATGAAGGGGGATCATCTACCCAGACCTGAGAACTTTTCTCTAATAAAACTACATGTCAGTTTATTAGCAAGCACCTCTTCTCCAAACGGCCGGTTCGCATTGGAAGAAATTTTAGAAGAAAAAACAGCGAGGAGCAGACGCAGAGCAAGGGCGCTCTGCCCACCTGTACCATCCCAAAGAAACCAACAAAATCAGTAGGTCTCAGTCAGTTCCATGGCTGATGAGAAGTGGTAAACACAATTACACAAGCCAGTAGATGGTTGCTCTTTACCCAGGTTGATGCTTCTGTTGACTGCACCGAAGAACTTGGAGCCACCGAGAGAGAACATGTTGGACTTCAAAAGCGGCTCGTCGGAAGAATCACTGGACACGTACATGATTCCAGCTCTGCAGTGAGGGCTCTGCAACGGCGTCAGTTAGGCCCGCCCGGAAGAAGATTTGACGACCACACTTCTTTAGTTTATAAGCGGCTTAATGTTTAAGGGAAGGCATGGCCTTGCCTGCTCCGGCAGAGCTCGACGACGACGTTGTCGGGTTGGACGGCGCGGAGGACGCGCTCGACGTCGGCGACGGAGTCCGGGGAGAGGTGCGAGGTGCCGAGGATCCACACGTCCTCGGGCTCCACGAAGTCCGGCGGGCGCCACGCCGGGACCGGGCCGAACCGCCGCCGCGGGACGCGCACGAGCGCGCCGGACTCCACCAGCCCCGCCAGCGCGGGGTCCCCCGCGGCGGCGGCGGCGGCGCGCGTGTCGGCGAGCACGGCCGCCCGGTAGTCAAAGCACGGCGGCGGCGGCGGGATCGGCGGCCGGAACGACGCCGCCGCGGCGGATGGGGTGGGCCCCGCTGCCATCCTGGCCGTGGCCGGTCGGCTGCGCATCTGGGGTGGCGGGTGGTGCCCGCGCGGCCGCGCGCCGTGGGGAGGATATGAATGGGACCGGGCCGGGGATTGGGCGGCTGCGTCGATGGGCTCGGCACCAGTCGCCTGGTGTTGATCGTAACCTGGTCACGGTTAGATTTTTTTTTTTTTTGAAAAAATCCACATTGCCTCCTCAACTTTCGCGAAAATCCGTTTTTCCTCCTATACTTCAAAACCGGGCAAAACATCTCCTCAACTTTTGAAACCGTTCATCCTACCTCCCTGTGCCTGTTATAAGTAGTTTTGAAGACGGTTTTATCTTTTTCTTTTTTTTATTTAATTTGGCTGAATCTTTCAAAAATCATAGTAAATCACAGAAAAATCATAAAATAGAAAATCCAATTTTCTTGGACTACACATGAGTAGATCTATACAGTGAACATATAATATGGTATGCTTTATTACACAGTTTTTGCTGTGACTTTAGATCTATACTTTTCTGTAATTAATTGGAATAATTCATAGCTGCAGTTTCTATTGTCCAATTATGATGAAATTTTTATGGTGGACTAATTATTGTATGATTAAACACTTAAATAAAATCTATAACTAAGTTATACATGATTCAATGAGCATGAAATTTTTTTTACAGTTCAATCATACAATAATTAGTCTACCATAAAAAATTCACCACAATTGGACCATAGAAACTGCAGCTATGAATTATTCCAATTAATTACAGAAAAACATAGATTTAAAGCCACAACAAAAACTCTGTACTAAAGTATACCATATTATATGTTCACTGTGTAGATCTACTCATGTGGAGTCCAACAAAATTAGATTTTTTCCATTTTATGATTTTTCTATGATTTACTATGATTTTTCAAAGATTCAGTCGAAATAAATAAAAAAGAAAAAGACAAAACCGCCTTCAAAACCGCTTATAACCGGGCCAAGGAGGTAGGATGAATGGTTTTAAAAGTTGAGGTATGTGTTTTGTTCGATTTTGGAGTTCAGAGAGGAAAAACAGACTTTCGTGAAAGTTGAGTAAGGTAATGTGGATTTTTTTTTCTTTTTCTCTCTCTCCATCTCACTTTAATTTCATTTTGAGAAGGTGAGGAGGTGGCCAAATTTACATAAATATGGGCCTAACATCCATGGGCCATGTGTTGGAAACAAAAAAAAAAACTTCAATTTCGAGGCCTGTTTGAAAACAGAATAATTTTTTACTGTTGTTATTACGGACTCGCAATGCACATGTGCCACTTCAACGTAGGGATAACTTAGAAGTGAGGAGAAAGTTCAGTGGCTATAACAATTATCATAAATGAATATCAAAATGTGGAGAAAATATCACATCTTTTCAAATTCACGTTTGGATGTGTGTCATGTTTATTGCATTAAAATTTGAGTTCAAAATCAAATTGGATTGTCATTTTTTTAGCTGTGAATTTTATGGTAAATTCAATTTTCATGGTACAACCTACTAGGATTACTAAGATTAAGAATGTTAGATATGCACACTTCTCATCGTACGATGAATTCATATGAATTGGTTTAATGTGAATAATTCATGTGGTAGAGTATGTCAAATAGAAGGCAGGCGATAATGTTTAACTTTATCTGCAATCTAAAAACAGAATTCCTATTTATTTTTCTAAAGCCCATGTTATAACATCCGGAGGGCAGCTCATGTCTCTGTAGATGGGTCCTGTCCCTCTCTGCATAACTGAACACAATCTTGCCCCAGATTGGGGTTAATCTGGTGGATAACATGCAATTACTGTCATAAATGCATCTTAGAATGTGGAGAAGTATATATATGACCTTATTTGGAGCCATCGAGGTGAAGCAGAGGGTACACGGAAATGTATAGGTGAACCCTCTTATATTCATTTTTGTTTAGTTTATTTAAAAGCGGGTACTTAAACAACTTTGAGATCGATTGGCGTACAGACTTCAGACATGAGGTGGAGCTAGAATCCCATCGAAGAGTACCTTGTCAATCCCCATACGAATCGAAATATTGCTTCTTTTCCTAGAAAAATATTCGTACAGGCAACGAGGTCTTTGGCTAGGAGTATAGTACTTTAAAAATGAAGAAGAAGCAAAGAGGTCCTAAGATTGAAACCGAACCCGATGGCTGATGAGTCATCTTTGTCTAGCGCTAGTTAACCACGCAATTGCAATGTAAGGGCTGATGCCGTAAGTCGCACAATCCTAGCCGCCGTCATGACTCATGGTTGACATCAGGACATATGTCTGCTACTCTGCTTACACGGGCTAAAGGAACCGTAGTACTTAACTAGTCAAAACCATAAAATAGCACATTATATAGCATCTCCAGCCCTATATCTGGATAGTAGAGGCTAAAAAAACATACTCTAACAGGCTACCTATCAGACTATCTACTTTTGTTGGTCCAATAAAGTTCCCCTCCCACTACCTACATCTGTTGGGCCAACAAACCTGGCTACTTTGCTCGGTTGTTTTCCTGCTCGCGCCCGTCTTCCTCCCGATGCCGACCTCACTCCTCCCAATCCTGGCCGTCGCCGGCCCTCCTCCGCCACGCCCCGGCCGGATCTGGAGGTTTGCCACCGCCGCCTAGCCTTCCTTGCCCCAGCGACGACGCCCTCCCCGGCTCCAGGATGCCTGCGGCCCTGCGGGCAGCCCTGTTCCACGGCGCGGTTCCCCCCGGCGCACGGCCTGCTCACCGGCACCGGCGCCGGCGTGCAGCGGCCGTCCCCCGGAGTGGCCATGCCTCGTCGGCGCATCTCCCTGCCTCCCGGCGGCGTGCCTCGCCTGCCCAGCATGCTCCTCCAGGCGCTGAGCAGCCCCTGCCCCGCGTGGCCCTCCCCGGCGGCCTAGCCCGGCAGCGCGGAGCCCACCCCAAGGCCCGCCCTGGCCCTGCGCGCCTCTCCAGCCAGCCAGCCGCCGCCAGCCACGCTCCTCGCCGGCGCTGAGCAACCAACATCGGCCAAGAGTACAAGACAGAGGATGACATATGGGACCCACGTGTCATTCTTTGCGAGGATTAATTTGGATAGCCTGTTGCTGGAGTTGGAAGCGAAATATGGATAGCATAAAAATATGTGGCTACTAAATAGATATTTAGGTAGTCTGATTTGGGTAGCACTATTGGAGATGTTGTTAGCCTCCTGTACCCACACGTGCTAGCCATCACCAGCTCGTATTGCAGTAGGAGTATTATATTTTTGCTCAAGTGGATAATTCCATTTCACTGATAGGCACGAGCTAAGGACGATGCGCTCCCTCTTGGTTTGGTCAATGGTCCTCCTCCTGTTAGCTGCCAGCTGCTGCATGCATGGTCCGCCGGTTGAACAAAGAGCAAACTGGCAAACGCCGGCTCCCCCTACCCCTTGAACGACAGCGACAGTCATCCGACCGGTGAAAAATGCGGCACAAGCGCGAGCACGCGAGCGGCGCGTCAGCGCGCATGTCACCGCCACGGTGGAGCTCTCGTCGTCGTCGGCCGGAGCTGGTCCCCGGCCGGCGGTCCTTCCTCCGACAAGTTCGACGAGAGTCTCTCTGCAAGTGGCACCTGAATTTCTGCCCGGATTTTTTTTTATTTTTAACACTTTTTTTAAACTATTTTTAAATTTAACACTGTTTTATTTTTTTTAAACTAATACTTTTGGCCGCACCTATTCGCATGGCGCGGCAAAATAACTCTGTCGTGTCATGCATGGCGGCGCGACTGGGGTGACCACGTGGTAGTCAGCCGCGGCGTTGGTCGCTGACGTGGCAAGGCTGCCGCGCCACCCATCAGGGCGCGGGGCTGCCGCGCCACCCATCACGGCGCGGCAGCCCTTTGGACGGGCCTGCGGCCCAACCTCGCTTCCTTTCCTCTCTCACTCACTCAGCCCATTTCGAAAGAGTGAGCCCTGAAGCCGCCGCCACGTCGGCCGGTGGCATCCCTCACTTCCCACTGCCGTGTCACCTCCCTCCCTCACTCCCAACTACCGCCGCGCCACTCTCCCTGTCTCTCCCTCTCTCAATGCCTCCCTATCTTCCAACTGCCCCGCCGCCCCTCCGTCGCCGGCGCGGCCGCCACTCCCTGTGGCGCCGCCTCCCTCTCTCCCTCTGTCTCCCCATCCTCTCCCTCCCCTGCCACCCCCTGTCCTTAACCCTCCTCCAACTTAGGGCGCACAAGAAGCCCGCCGCCGGTCGCCAGGAGAAGCCCGCTGCCGGCCGACCATTGTCGCCGACAGCCTCATCGCCTTAGGTGGATTGGGGTGAGCCCCAATCTCCCGCTGTGGTTTGTTGAGGTAATCCTCTTGTGGATTTGTTGCTTCAATAGAATTGTTGTTAGCTAGGGTTAGGATTAAAAATTAGTCAATGAAGTTAGTTAGTAAAGTTAGGTAGATAGGTATAGTTAGTGAAGTTAGTTAGTATAGTTGGTTAATACAGTTAGTTAGTATAGTTAGTATAGGTACTAATATTAGTTTAGTTAGTGCATTTAGTATAGTTAGTTAAAATTGTTGTTATAGGTATTAATATTAGATTAGTTAGTTTTCTTAGTTAGTATAGGTATTAATATTAGATTAGTTAGTACGCACGACGATTTCGATGACCTGATAAAGTTTCTGAAACACTTTTGTAGATGGATTCTTGTGTTAGAGTTTTCTACAGAAGAAGTGTTAGGAGAGAAGATGGTATGTTTGAGGATATGGAAGAAGAATTGGAATGGTTTAATGAACCTCCTAGCTTCAACGATCTTTGTGTCCATTTAAATGTAAAGTTTGGCGGTGATTTCACACTGAATGGGAGGTTTGATACTGAGAAGACTAGGGCACACTATGTCCTGATGCCCTTACGCGACCCTACTCACTAGTCCCGCTACAATATGGTGCTCCAAGGTTCCAATGTACCCATGGCTGAGGTGGTGGTGGAGAATGGGTACAGGATGTAGGGTGTCCTGGACGGGCCGTCCATTGACGGTGTTGGAGGCAATGAGCAAGAATTGAGGA